GCCCTGGATAAGCAAAACACTACCAGGACAATCGAAAAGAACAAAATAAGTTGTCACATGTTTTAGGTCAGTGCATAGGACCATTACTGTAAAAACAGAAAACTAATGTGTCTTGGGGATCCAAGGGGAAAGGGGTGAGGGAGGTGGTAAAATCATAGGGTTGTACAATTTGGTGGGTGGAGGGAGTGGTGGTAAAGGAAATAGGAAAAGATCCAGCAGGGAACTGGAAAGACAGGGTAATGAAGGGCATGGTTAATGGTGATGGATATTATAAAACTATGAATGAGAATGATTGTATGAAACACATGTGAATGAAGGATAGTGTGAAAAACAACATATATGAACTCTGTATGCAAATCAACATAAAACAAAAAAAAATAAATAAATTACTGCACAGTCTTAGTAGTAACCTGACACAGTGACAGATACATAGACCAACAGAACAGTAGTAACCTGGTACAGTGACAGACAATGAAACTGCAGTAACCTGACACAGTGACAGATACATAGACCAACAGAACAGTAGTAACCTGGTACAGTGACAGACAATGAAACTGCAGTAACCTGACACAGTGACAGATACAGAGAACAACGAACAGTAGTAACTTGGTACAATGACAGATACACAGACAATAAAATAGATCAGATGACTCAGAAACAATTCCATCATTTTTCAGAAAGTGATGGGCTACAAATCATTAAGTGTGGGAATAGTCAATCTCTTTGGCAAATCTCAAAAAGAACCTCCAAACTCAATACTTCTGAGTCTAAACCAACTTGTAACTGGCCGTCTCTGGGTTTTCAGAGACTGTAAATCACACAGGAAGAAATTGCTCACCTTCCTCTTTAGCAGACAGAGCTGGAAAATCTGGATATCCATTTGCACAAAATGAAACTAGAACCATATCTCATACCATATGCAAAAACTAACTCCAAAATAGATCCACCACACCTTCATGTAAAACCTAAAAACTATGGATATCATCAAAAAGAGAAGGATAATGCTAAGGATCTTAATATATGGCATGTCAATCACAACCAATAATATAGAAACAAGAGAAGATAAACTAGATGAATGGGACCATCTAAAAAAGGAAATTCTAAGTGCATCAAAGGACATCTACTAAACCTTTCTAACCTACAGGTTAGAAAAAAAGAAATTCAATATACAATAAATCCAACAAGGGAATAATCTCTAAAATTCATAGAAAACTTCTACACCTAAATAACAAAATGACCAATAATGCAAGTAAAAATGAGGAAAGGTATTTTAATGAAGAAGACATTCAGGATGCCAACAGGCACATAAGAAAATTCTCTATTATTAGCCATTAGAGATGCAGACAAGAATGAGATAATATCTCAGCCAGCAGTAATGACAAGTTCAGTAAAACAGAAACTGAACTCTCATACAGCAGTACAGAACTGTCAACTATTGTGGAAAATAGTACGGTGCTTCCTTTAAAAGTTGGAAAACAGAAATACTATTTGATCCAGTAATCTCTCACTACAGTGCTAACATCCCACAGAAACTGGAGCAGGAGAATTAACAGCACTCTTTGCTACAGCAAAGAGATGGAAACCACTAACTGTCCATCAACAGATGACAGGGGAAACAAATCACAAAACAGAATATTTAGCAACATGAAAGAATAATGAAGAGCTAACAAAACATGTTTCACAGATGAACAAAGACATTATAATGAGTGAACAGAGTTACAAAAAGACAATGTTGCAGAATTACACTATTTTTAAACAGTCAGGAAAAAGTTTATATACAGCAACATTCTTTGATGAGTATGAAAAGAAAGGGAAAGGAGAGGGAAAATGAGTAATGAATTAATAGATCTGCACAGACAGACAAAAAAGATGGACAAAAGTTACATGCAACTATGGTAAATACATAAACAATTACCAGCAATAATCATTCACCTACAGATGAATATAGAAGATAAGCTAGGACCAGGTAAAGAAACCACACCCACAACCACACATACCTTTGGCAGATGCTACTTAGATATTTATTTGTAAATGCTACAAATGTATCCATGTATATATATACTGGATTCCACCAGAGGGAAAGTTCTAGAAATTTAACCTTAACTAAACTTGCTGAGGGAACGTTACTGGTCCTGGAGCCTTGGGACCACAATCTCAGAAGGCATCAGGTCAGCCAGAATGACAAATTCACAAAAACAATGTTCCACATCCTATTTTGATGAACAGCAACTGGGCCTCCAAGAGGGAAGATCAAAGGGCATGGAAACTAAAGTTGTCCAAGAACCAACCAATGGACCCCACGAACCTCAACCTCTGTGAATCTGACACTAGAACTAGATGGTGCCCACTGATAATCACTCTGGAAAGATCTCCACAGAAAGTCTTTGAAAGATCAGGAGAAAATGTAGAAACTCAAATTCATAAAAATGGCCAGGCTTAATGGCCTGATACATACTGGTTATGACCTTAGTCATTCTTCAAGCCTAGAACGCAACAAAATTCTGTGGGTCAAACTTTCAGCCAAGTAGCAAACAAACCACAATGAATGTACTTAGTCCTTAGAACAAACAACTACAAAAGATCAAAAAGGCAATTATTTTCCAAGGAATAAAGTATAGAGGGCAGGAAGATACAAAAAGTATGAATGAAAGAATTGTAGGAAAAGTGGGAAGAGTGCTGTTACATTGGTTACAACATGGAGATGGAATCAATGTAATAAAATCTGTTATCAATGGAAAGAAAATCAATTGCTCTGTATAGTCTCACTTAAGGATTTAAAATAGCAGTATCAAAAGTCACATCTGTGTCTCTCTATATAATAATATGAAAAGTAACCTACAAAAAATTACAAAAGCATTTAAAAATAGAAAATATTTTTGACCAAACTGATGGTGGAGGGAGGATAACATATAGGAGGAACTTTATAAGTGAACCAGATGGGTGGGAATGGGGGATTAATCATAGGGTCACACAATTTGGTGGGTGGGGTGGAATGAAAGAAATAGGGGGAAAATCCAGTGTGAAAAACAATGTATTGGAACTCTGTAAATAAACCAGTATAAAAAAGAGATATTAGATGTGATAATAAAATGTGACTGCACACATGCACAAAGTAAAATAATCCTAAAAAAATTTAACTTACTAAAAGTAAATATATAAAATAGACATAAAGTTTTAAAAGCCTGCACCAATCTATGTTGTATATGAACATATGCTAATCTCTATCAGGCAGTCTTTGGATAATGAATTTCTATTTTATGAAAAATTCGTATTTATTAATGTCCTCACTTTGCAAAATGCCAACTACACTCACACGCAACAAATTCTGCATCACAAGCACTTGCTGCATATGCAGTTTTCTCACTGAAAATGGCCTTGAGCCATCTTTTCGTAAAACTGACCTACAAATTTGGCTTAAGAATGGACCACGCATGTACCCAGGAAGCATCTGTGTATGTTCATCCATTTTTTCACTAAATGAGAGTAATGGAGACAGTTCTGGGAACTAAGAGATTAAAGTATTATTACCACAAAGCTGTTAGCAAGAACCTACTATCTTTGGTTGTTGATTCACTTTTTTATCTTCTAGATCCTTGAATTTTGATCGGAAAGAGACCATTTTTTCTTGAAGTTCCGGCGTACATAGTTCGTAAACATCCAACATAAGAGGAAATTTAACATCCTAATACAAACCAAAAAGAAAAAAAATGGGTACACAGATATATCAAGACAGGAAAGTTACATGAAATATCTATATTAAAAATAATTAATTTAAAAAATTAATGCTTTCACAATTAAAATACAACTGAAAATAAAATTCTTGAAAAATTAATAAGAAATTTCTGCAGGTGAAAATCTTTTGAAAAGAAAGAATGAATCTGAGTTACATGTTTAGTGCTTCTATTGTAGCTCCGAGTTGCCTGAGGTCTTAAGGACTTGCAAGGATCCGTCCAGGGAACAACTGACCTCTATTCGCCCACAGCAACAGAGCTGGAGGAAAGTCTAGAAGAGGGAGGAGTCTAGAGAATATGTGGGTAACTGCCTCCATAAGCAACTGTCTCCTTTATCAGGAGGCCAGAACTGACTGGTATGTAACTACCAATATGGAGTATTTTGATCAAAGCTCTCATAAGAATCCTAATCCAAAAAATGGAAATGCAGAACAGAATTTCAAATTCTCCTAGACTTTAAATTCCATGAAGGTAAGATAAACCCCTGATATCAATGACCCAAAATAATCTTTAAGGCTTAAAACAAAAGTATTCCTTGAGGTCTTCCTAAAATCAAAACAAAAATTTAGCATAAGTAGTAAAAATTCTGCCTTTAGGACTTATTTTAAGATCTATAAACAGGCTCAAATTAGCAATATAAACTTGAAAGAACTTTGTGTTATATACCATCAAGTCAGAACCCTGACCCTTCCGTAGGTTTTCAGAGGCAGAAAATGCATGGAAGGAAGACTCTCACAGACTAGCTGATGAATTTGAATCCACATACCTTTGCACTGGCAGCGTACAACTCCTTACCACTAAGTCAAAGAACTAAACAGGAACCTTAGAGGACAGTAAATTTATGTTCATCGTAGAGGAAAAACTGAGAAAAGGGGAAGAGGGCTACACAACTCAGTGTACTCTCTGTGAACACACAGTGTATAAACTGCTGAATCAGCCTATGTTTTGTAGTGTCTATCCTCAACAACATAATTATACACAATTTTTTCAAAGTATTTGTTCCTTTTCGCTCTCAGTTTGCAGAAATTATTAGTGACATTTTTTTAAGTGAATTCTAGTTCTAATACTAATAAATTTTCAAAGCATTTTTTTTCTCACTAAACATGCTAGTCTAGGATAATGGACACAGAGGATCTAATAAAACTCAAATAACAGAAATAATATTCCAGAAATAATAGAACAATTGCTATTAAAACAATGGATCCCAAAAACTGGTTGTGCAATCAACTTAAGTAGAATCATTTATGACTGTTCTTCCCCTCCTATTATATTGTTACTGTCGTGTACCCTCAAGTTGGAACCAACCCATAGCTGACCCTCTGGCGGGTTTCCAGAAGCAGTTAATTGGATGAGAGGAGATTGTTCATCCTTCTCCCACGGAGCGGCTGGTGCCTCAGACCACGTGCTTTCAGGATTGCAGCACAGCTTCTTGACACTAGGCCACCAGAGCTATTTTATATTGCTGCTGTTATGTGCCTTCGAGTCGCTTGCAACTCATAGCGACCCTATGTACAAGAGTCCTAACCCTGCTCTATTACTGTGCCAATCTCACGGTCTTTGACACATTTACTCCCATTACCCAATGACTGAATCAATTCCTCTCTTGTGCTGTCCTTACACCCTCTCAAACATGATGTCCCTCTCTAAGGACTGGTCGCTCCTTGCAACATGTCCAAAGTATGTCAGACAAAGCTTCAGAATTCTTGCCTCAAAGGAGCAGCCCATTTTCACACTCACCAGGACAAACATGTTTGTTCTCCTAGCAGTCCAAGGTATATTCACTCTTCTCCAGCATTACAGCTCAAAGGCGTCAATTCTTTATCATCCCAGTCAATGTCCAGCTCTCTGACACATTTAACATGCAATTGTGAAGGCTATGGTCTGATCAGGTGCACCTCAGTCTCCAGCCTGACGTCACTGCTCTTCAGTACTCTGGAGAGGTCCCTGACCCCATACTTTCCTAATGCAATCCATCTATTGATTTCCTGGCTGCTGGTAGATACCATAGTATTGATTGTGAAGCCAAGCAAACTAAAACTGTTAATCTAATTCTCTTCACCATCCATTGTGAGGCTGCCAATTAACCCAGTGGTGAGCATCTTTTTTTTTTTTTTAAATACAATCATTCCCACTTATTATGGGGTTCCCCCCAAGTTGTTTTATTTTAATGCAACATATTTTTTTACAGCATATTCTTCCCATTTAATTTTTCCCATTCGTTTATTGTTGCACATTTCCCTCCCTGCCCTCCCCTTCCCCACAGTTCATTTTTTCACTTTTACACACACACACACACACACACACACACACACACACAGAGTCCGCTTTACTATGCACTTCTTTTTCTGGAATAATACCCAATCATATTTTCCTTTTAAGCAGTTATCTCCCTCATCTGTTTCACGTATACATTATTTATCTCCTTTTCTTTGGTTCCCCCCTTCCCTGATGTCAGTTCCATTTTACAACAGGGGCACTATGCAATATTTGTCCTTTTCGACTGAGATTTCACTCAGCATAATGTCCTTCGGGGTAACCCATTTTGTATGACTGTTCTAGTTCATGAGTTCCTTGTTTTTCAATGCAGCACAGTATTCCATTGTGCGAATATATCACAGCTTCTATATCCGTTCCTTTGTTGATGGGCTGTTGGGTTGTTTCCAACTCTTTGTTATTGTGAACAAAACAGCAATAAACACTGGTGTGCATATATCTGCTTGAGTGGCAGTTCTGGTTTCTTTAGGGTATATTCCCGGTAGTGGAACTGCTGGGTCAAATGGTATTTCTATTTGCAACTTTCTGAGAAAGCATCATCCAGACTTCCATTATGGTTGCACCATTTTATACTCCCACCAACAGTGAATAAGGGTTCCAGTATCTCCACAACCTCGCCAGCATTTGTTGTCTGCTGCTCTGCTAAATTTTGCTATTCTTACTGGGGTGAGATGACATCTCATAGTTGTTTTGATTGGCATTTCTCTTAGGGATTTTTGAACACTTCTTCATGTGTTTGTTGGCAACTTGAATGTCTTCTTTGGTGAAGTATCTGTTCATATCCTGTGTCCATTTTGCAACTGGGTCATTTAACTTTATCTTGTGGCGCTTGAGTATTCTGTAAATTCTAGATATAAGTCCCTTATCAGACATGTCAGTCTGTGGCTTCCCTCTTACCCTGTTGGGAGTTTTTGGATGTGCATAGGGATCTGATTCTTAGAAGGTCTCATTCATCTATTTTATCCTCTCCTGGCTGTAGGAGAATCTTTATTTTCTTGATGTTGAGCTTCAATCCATATTGAAGACTACATTCCTTGACCTTCTGCAGCAAGTGCTTCAGGTCCTCCTCAGTTTCAGCAAGCAGGGGTGTCTCATACACATAACGCAGGTTGTTGATGAATCTTCCTTCAACCCTGATGCCACATTCCTCCTCATACAGCCTAGCCTCCCAGATGGTCTGTTCTGCATACAGATTGAAAAGGTATGGAGACAGAATACATCCCTGGCGGACACCCTTCCTGATTTTGGACTAAGCAGTGTCTCCTTCCTCTGTTCTGACAACTGTCTCTTTATTCAAGTATAGGTTTCACATAAGCACAATCAAATATTCTGGGATTCCCATTCTTCTCAAAGTCAACAAAAGTGTGTTGTGATCCACAAAGTCAAAAGCCTTTGCAGAGTCAATGAAGCACATTCCTCTGGTACTCTGTTTTCTGCCAAGATCCAGCTAACATTAGCTATAATATCCCTAGTACCATGGCCTCTTCTAAACACAGCCTGCACATCTGGCAGTTCTCTGCTGATGTGCTGCTCGTCGTTTTCAAATAATTTTAGCAGAATCTTGCTTGAATGTGATATTAACAAGATTATTCATTTATTTCCACACTCAGAGGGTCACCTTTCTTTGGAATGGGAACAAGTCCTCCAGATTTCTTGGCACAACTTAGTAAGCTCATCCAGAGAAGCATCTGTTTGTTGAAATGGCAACTAGTTTGCCATCAACTCCCAGAGCCTTGTTTTTTGCCAATTCTTTCAGAGCAACTTGAACTTCCTCCTTCATCAACACAGGCTCTTGCTCATATGTTGTTTCATGAAATTCTGTGTCAGCAATTCCTTCTGGTACAGTAATTCTGTATACTTACATACTCAAAGTTAACTCTAGTAGATACTTAACCTTCTCACATGAACACTAAAGGAGCTCTGGAAGTGTAAGTGCTGCACGCTGCATGGCTAACAAAAGTTCCGGAAACTGCTCCCTAGGAGAGAGCTGGGCAGTTTCCTCCAGGAAAGGTCTGCAACATGGGAAAACCAATGCAGGAGTTCTGAGTCAGCAGTTTCTTGACAGAAATGGGCATATTTTATCTAACATTAAATATACTGGAAAATTTATACTAAATACCAGCTAAGAAATTTTGTTTCACCCAAGGATCAGGAAGCCTATTAACAACATTAGCAACATTCTATACCAAATACCAAAATCAACAACAAAAACACACTTCCCCATAAATCATTAAATCAGCAATGACTTAAAGTTATCGTTTGTATACTCTTTGGACACTAGTAATTCAACTGTCATCTGAAAAGGAAACCAGCTGCAACAGAGTGCACTGCTCTGTACCCTGTCCTGCCCTGAACCCTCCTGAATCTTTGAGACTGAGAAGCTAGTCTAGAGTATTATCTATGCATACCAGGGACAAACTGTCTGACTTATATGAGAATCTATTCTGAAATGTAAGACCCAGATCCCACACATCAGTTAAGTATATGCTTGTGGTGGGTGGGGGAGAAACAGACAATGCTAATTTGCATCCTTTTAAGGGTAAAAAGTAAAGACAGATTTATTAGAAAGTTATGTCCTAAAGATGGGATGAATCTTTCATCTTAGAAAGGAAATGTGGAAGAGACAAGCGTAAACTGCATTCTTCAGTAAAAACTTCTGACTCGTATGAATAACTAAATATTTGCAGGGTGGGAATCAAATATTCTGAGACGAATGAAGAAACTTATTAAGTTAGGAAAAGTCTTCAAAACATTATAATAATTTTTTATACAAATTAAAGTTTATTACAAACCTTAAGAACTTTGGCATTAACAGATTCCTTCTCTTTATAAAAAAATCGAACCATCTGAATAGTCAAGTAAGCAGGTAGCCGGCTAATCTTGGACTAAAGAGAAAAAAATCTTATTACAACCAAACGGCATAAAGGTTTGAAATCTTAGTGATAAAGGCTAAACAAAGTCAAGTTATATAGTAACTGAAAATTTCTCAATGAAATGGTGCTCAATTTCAGAAAGGAATGCTACTCACAGATTTGATGTATAAAGCATTTCTTTGCAACGTTGGAGACTGTTTAGTGATTTCTTCCTGAAGTCGCTGGGGGTAAAAAAAACCCAAAAGACCAAACTTTAAATATTTTTTTCTACAATAATTATGTCCCAGTTGTAATTCTTTTTTAAAGTATGCTCTACTTTAACACCATATGAAAAATCTGTTATCACTGTTATCTTTTTTAAACTTGTTTAAAAATGATCTTTTGTTAGTTCTTGTTACAAGCATGTTATAGCGTTGCAATAATATTTTTAAATTTTATTTTTAAAATTTGCTAATCATAAATGTCTATAGTTTCTCATTTAATGTAAACAAATTCTTGTTTAATAAAGAGCATAGAAGCCATCAGTCCCACATTCACAACAAGGAGAAAAGTAAAAATCTGCAACTCTCCTTAGCTCCATCGGAGAACTGTGGTCACAAGGTAGAAATGAGAGATCCAGAGAAAGACAATCACGGCTTACCCAGTCACTGAGCAGAAACTACCACTAGACGGGGTCAGACAGAAATAACTAAAGGGAAACTGGAGATGAAACTTAAAACTAGTACCTCTGAGAGAAAACTAGCTGGAGGTTTAGAGTTAGAGGGCCCCATACTTTCTTGAGTTTTACTTCCAAGAGCCTGACCAGGTTCTTTACCATGAACATCACAAACTGATCGATTCCCCTATGCTTCCAGCATGTTGTTGGTTAACAATAGCCTATCTTCAACATGAACTATTGCCAAAGCCACTAAAAAGCCTATCTAGTGTGGGTTTTAACAGAGCCTACACAAGCCTATCGAGCACAGGTTTATCAGAGCCTCACTGACACAGGAGAGGAAAATACCTAACAGTGCTCTCTAGCTTTCCTCTCTCACCAAGGCTCAGTGAGTATGGGAACCGTTAAGTACTTGTGGTCACAGTACAGGCTCACTAAAGCTTGAGATTTAATAGAAAGACCTTCTGAAGATAGAAATATTCTTTTAAATATCCCAAATCAATAAAATAGCAAGCAAAAACTTCTAATTTATCAATGAGTAGAGGATCTATATACTTTATATATATAATTCCTTAGTATGGCACTAGGGAAAAAAGTAATACTGAGAAAAGCCAGCCTACTAAAGCAAGCCACCATAAACCAATAAAGTCACTTAAATTACAGCCTCAAGGCAAGAAAGTGAAATGGTGGTATGATTCTAAGCCAATCTCCATGATATAAACTCAGTTAATGCCTCATTAATGCCATTTTATTCACTCTCCAAAGGGTTCTGCTCTATACAAAAAGCGAGGTCAGAGCATAAAACAAATTCTCACTGTATCCTCACAAAACCCCTCTAACTATCCTCATTTTTCATGTAAGAAAATAGAAAATTGGATGAATCTGCCTTAAGAAAATGCCCCCAAGTTTCAATATGTGATAATAACATCTAAATCTGTGAAATCAGAAATTATGCTGACAATAATGATGTCTCAAGGTTAACTATCCTTACCAGCTTCAGTCCTGTAAAAAGATACTTGACTTCCTGATTGATAAAGCAACTAAGTTGAAGCTGATTTTCCTTTCCTTTAGTAACTTCTTCTTCTTCAGATTCTGTACATTTCATGCTTTGAGAAATAAGATAAGGAATATGCCAGTATTCAATTTACCAAATAATCTTTACTATCATAAACGATAGTTCATAAACGAAAGCTGATAGTATCATTCAATAGTAATTAAATCATTTTCCTCTCACAATATTCAGTTGAATACTCTTTAGAATGTCTATTTCCAACCAGCAGCCTCTGTAAATATTACTGGATATGTGTAAAAAGATAAACTACAGGGAGCTCTGGTGGCCTCGTGGCAAGAAGCTGCACTGCACTCCCAGAGGTAAGCAGTTCAAATCCACCAGATGCCCTGCTGGAAAAGGAGGGGCAAAAAAAAATTTTATTTTAATAACTTTAATGAACTTTTACAGATATTTTGGATTTCCATTCATTCATTGTTGCACTTTAAATTTTTTTATTTTTTTTCTAAAAAGATAAACTACAAACAACAGAACCTAAATGTACGTGAGCTGGTATTTATTTTGCTCATAATAATATTGTTTTAAGATCCACAGATAAATAAAAAAATCTTTTTCAAGTTTCTAACCATGCTCTAAAGGAGCCCTAGTGACACAGTAATTAAGCACTCGGTTATCAACCAAAAGGTCTGTGGTTCAAATCCATCAACCACTCTGTGGGAAAAATATGGCAAATACACTTCTGTACAGATGTGAAGCCTTGAAAGTCCTACAGAGATGCTCTCCCAGAGTTGAAATGAGGTAGAATCGCCTCAACGGCTACAGGGCCTGGATCATGAGACTGAAGAGAGTACTTATCTGAACTCATGGTACTGGGTCCATTTCACATACATAGTTTAGTTTATGTAACTGAAAATTCAATGAGATGAATTAGGTAGGTTTTGCTAAAGATGTCTGTACGAAATAATAATGAACATCACTGAAGTATATGTACACTTAATTTCAAGATCAGTCAAATGGTTATATTTTTAACAAATACCAAATTCTATATATTTTAGGCATAAAAATCTCTGGAGATTTTCTTTTTTCATAGCCCATCTGCCACCCCATTCTTCTCTAGGAAATTATGAGTACAGTTTATATAAATCGTGGCTCATAAGGATACGTAGTTTCAAACTCAACACCGAAGAACTGATCAATTAAACTTTTCTTTTTGGAAGGTGTCACTGCTGATGCAGATGAAGAATCTGTCTGCAAAAATTAAAGACATTTAAAAAATCCAATTTTACTTTATATAGAAATCAATATGTTACCAACAGATCAAAGATGCTAAACTTTTTTCAACTGATTACATTTAATAAATACATTGTACTCAAGTCGTAAATGCAAGGTTTCAAATTCTAAGTATGGACTGAGCCTCTGTCCATAGCAAATCGTATATAAGCAAAAAGCAATAAGCAAATCTGTCTATTAAAATGAATTTATAGCAAAGACTTCAGAGGGGTGAATAAAAAAAAAGTCTAGGTACAAAGAATATCTTTAATCACAAACATACATATTTCATTTACCTCTTTAACAGAATCATCCTCTAAGGCTTCCAATTTCTGCTGCAATACTCGCATCATTTGTATCCAACATTCATTTGCATCCTGTAATTTAAAAAAATCAGACAGTATATAATCCAGGTAGGAGTTTAATTCCATAAAGTTCACTGCTTCATAAGAACATAAAAGATACTGAACATAATTAGTCATCAGGAAAATGCAAGTCAAAACTGTAATTCTCATGTACTACACTGGCTATGGGAAGCTCTAGTGGCAGAGTGGTTAAATGCTCAGTAACTAATCAAAAAGTCAGTGGCTGAAAACCACTCTCTACAGAACAAAGAGAGGACATTCTATCCTCCTAAATAATAGTCTTAGATACCCTATTCCATAGGGTCACTAAGTCAGAACTCCATTAATAAACAGTAACAGGTAAGGTGGTTTCTGGTGGTACAATGGTTAAGCACAGACCTATTATACTAAGTCAGCACTGCAAACCTACCAGCAGTGATGCTAGAGAAAGACCTAGCCATTCTTCCTATTAAGATTAAGGCTCAGTAAGGCACACAGGAGCAGTTCTATACTGCCACACAAGGTTGGTTTAAGTCACAAATGACTGAACAGGGCAAAAGAGGTAATTATGAAAAACAAAACAGAAAATAACATTGCTAATGAGAATGTAAAATGGTACAGCTACTGTAGAAAACAGTTTGGCAGTGCTTCAAAGTTTCATAAAATTATTATATACACAAAAGAACTGAATTAGAAACTCGGATACCCCAGTATTCGCTGCAAAATTATCCACAATAACAAAAAATGAAAAACAAGTATCTTACCAACTAATAAATGGATAAACTAAATGTGGTATACATATACAATGGAGTATTATCCATCTGTAAAGCAAAATGATGTCTAGTACAACATGAATGCACTCTGAAGTATACCAGCCACAAAAGAAAGAACACACTGTATTAACCCACTTACACTGAACATTACAACAAGGAAATGTAAAGATAACAGCAGGGGCTGAGAACAGTAAGGAATAAAAACACCTATAAGAATACAGAGTTTATGTTAAGGATGATGATAAACTTTTAGAATTGGTGGTGATGGTTAATACTGTGATTGTAATTAATGTCACTGAGTAGGAGCTGTTGTTATGTGCCATCGAGTCACCTGAGACTCATAATGACCCTATATACAACAGCCCTAAACCCTGCTCTATCCTGAGCCAATCTCGTTGTCTCTGACACACCTTCCCCCATTACCCCAGTCAATGAATGCATCCATTTCATAGAAGACCTACTCTCCTGCACTGTCCCTCCACCCTCTCAAGCATGATGTCCCTCTCCAAGAATTGGTCCCTCCTTGTAATATGTCCAAAGTATGTCAGACGAAGCTTCAGAATCCTTGCTTCCAAAGAGCAGCCTGGCTTCACCCTCTCCAGGACAAACCTGTTCATAGTCTTAGCAGTCCACGGTAAATACTCTTCTCCAACACCAAAGCTCAAAGGCATCAATTCTATCATTTATAGTCATTGTCCAGCTCTCTGATGCATAGCAAGTAACTGCAAATACCATGGCCTGTATTAGGCGCACCTTAGTCTTCAGACTGACAGTGTTGCTCCTCAGTACTGTAGAGGCCTCTAACTGTAGACTTTGCCATCACAATACATCTTTTAATTTCCAGGCTGCTGATGCCAAGAGTGTTGACTGTGGAGCCAAGCAAACTAAAGTTGTGAACAATCTCAATTTCTTCACCATCCATCATGCTGCTGTCAATCAACCCAGTGGTGAGAATCTTTGTTTTCTTGATATTGAGTCTCAATCCAGACTGAAGGCTGCAGTCCCCGACCTTCCACAGCAAGTGCTTCAGGTCCTCCTCAGTTTCAGCAATCAGGGTTGTGTCATCTGCATAACGCAGATTCTTGATGAGCCTTCCTCCAATCCTGATGCCAAACTTCTCCTCAGAGAGCCCAGCCCCCCAGATAATCTGTTCTGCATAAAGATTGAAAAGGTGTGGAGATAGGACACATCTGATACACCCTTCCCAATTTTAACTATGCAGTGTTTTCTTGCTCTGTTCTGAAGACTGCCTCCTGGTCCAAGTATAGGTACCTAAGGATGCTTTACGTAGAACATTAAATGATTCAGGAAGTATTAAAAGAAGATGGAAAGAGTATATAGCATCATTATACCAAAAGGAACTGGAAGATACAGAAGAATTTCATGAAACAACATAGTAGAGCCTGTGATGATGAAGGAAGAAGTTCAAACTGCTTTGAAAGAAATGGCTAAAAATAAGGCCTCAAGAATTGATGGTATGATGGTATACCAATTGACATATTTTAACTGACAGATGCTGCCCTGGATGTGCTCACCAAGTTGTGCCAAGAAATCTGGAGAACAACCACTTGGCCAACTGACTGGAAGAGATCTATATTTGTTCCCATTCCAATGAAAGGTGAACCGGCAGAGTGTGGAAATTATCGAGCATATCATTAATATCACATGCAAGCAAGATGCTGCTGAAGATTACCCAAAAACAACTGAAACAGCACATCAACAGAGAACTACCAGAAGTGCAGTCATGGTACTAGGGATATTAGAGCTCATGTTCGATGATCTTGACTGAAAGCAGGGAGTACCAGAGGAATGAGAGTCACTGAGTTACACATCCTTAAAAAGTTAAAACGGCAAACTGCAGTGATCAAAAATGGTAATTTATTTTCCAAAATAAAATTTTTTGAAAGGAGACAGGGACTATGTGGGAAAAGGCAGCAGAGCGGCAAAAACAGAAGCAGGGTGATCATTTAACATACAGTAGAATAGTTAACATACAGTCCAGCAATAATTACAAGAGCTAGGGTGGAGTAGTATTTTCAAACTTACATCTCAGCCTAGAGACTGTAGCAATTACTAAAAAAACTTAGCTTTACAATTTACAAAATGAAAACCACAAAACCTTGTCCTAATTACCTGTTGAAGATATTGTCCTTGTTCACCCTTCTCTGCAAACTGTGGGAAAGCCATGTGCAAAAACTGCAGGAGGATAATGGGTGGAATACTAGACGAAGTTTTATCCATGGAATCAAACAAATCTCTAAGGGCTTAAAAACAATGTAAAATCACCTTAGTAAAACAATGGCATATTTAATACATAGTACTATAATTAATTATCACTATGCAGAAAACATTAATAACTATTTTCCATTTTTCTTCTGAAATTATTAAGTCCTAATTTTTTTAAAGGGGATATTTACACAGCACTTTTTATTCATTTTAATGATAAATCCTAATTTTTAAAAATTCATTTTTCAATTTTAACCCATCAGTAAACTGTCATTTCAGCCTTTGTCTTCCCAAACAAAGCAAACCATATTAATTAAACAGTGAGTATATATAACACTAGGTAATACATTTTGCCTTTTTTTTGTCTAGAGATTATATAAACATAGCACTACTTTCTTCCATTGTGGACCTTCATCTTAGTCTTCTAGTGCTTAGAGGTCTAGAGTGGGCCCTGCTGGAAATCTCAAGTGCCTCAGCATCAATATTCCCATGAGTCAAGGAACCTCATGCTCAAAAGAAGTGTGTCACTCCTGGCTCCTCTTCTTGGTTATACCAAAGTTTCCCTCTTTGCTCAACATGTATCCTTTTATACCTTGTAAAACAAAAATGATGCACGCCACGCCCTAGAGAATCTCTCCATAGGATGGGTCAAGGCTGTGACCTGAGGAAATGTGTGGCATTCCACCCAAGCCCCTTTCCAACTGACCACTTCAATCAGATCATTGGTGATGACTGCATCACTGCATAATTTAGAATTACAGCTCAGCCAGCTGACATATATTGTGGGGACACACAATTAAATCCATGACCCTTTAAACCCATTGTTGATTTCGTATTCAAAACTCAATTCACTGCCCTTAAGTCAGAACCAGTACATATAGCTGGACCTTCTAGGTATTCTGTGTATTTCTTCTGACAGTCAAAAGAAATGAAATACTGATGTATGTTATAATAACGATGAACCCTGAAGACATTATGATAAGTGAAAGAAGTAAGCCACAAAGGATCATGTATTATATGATTTCATTTATATCTAAAGTCCAGATTAAGCAAATCCATAGAGACAAAAAAAGAAATGTGTGGCTGCCTGGGGCTAAGAGGAGTGGGGGAAGGTGGGAGTGACTGCTAAATAATTTTCCTTAAGGTAATGAAAATGTTCAAAAAAGGATTCCAGTGACGACTGCACGACTGAATAAACAAAAAAATTAAGGAAGTACAGACTCTAAATGGGTAAACTGTATGATATGCAGATTACCTCAATAAAGTTGTTGATTTTTAATAAAATTCTATTTTAATTGTAATGAACGTTTACAGAGAAATGAGATTTTCATTCATTTATTGTTGCATATTCCCTCCCTCATGCCTCCTCTGCCCCAATTTACTTTTATTTTTAAATATTCATTTATTTTTGCACAATTACTTCCCCTCAGTCCTCTTTGTAATGGTAATTAAGGTGTTATTTCTTAAAGGAATAGTTGTAAAAAAAAAAAGGAATAGTAAGAATTCATTTGTGAAAATGTCCAAGATTGGAATGAGGATAAATTACACAGTCTCAGGTAAAGAAGTAGTAAGAAATTTAAGAACTTCTATTTCTCTTTAGATCTCACACATCACACCTGTTTACACTAAAGGAATATACAGTATACGTTCTTTTATAATAATGCAGTCAACAATGGTAACATCAATCTCTGTATATCCTCAAACTAATCCTCAAAGATGTATTAGACAAGTCTGAAGTCTGCATGAAAAAACCTGTTCCACATTGTTAAATACAAAATGTACTCCAATATCAATGTTTTAGAAAATAGATTTTGCAAATTAAAAGGCACAAGAATCATGAGTGGAAAACAACATTTATGAATATTTACTTTACCCCCCTCTGAAAAGTACTGAAGATACTAACCTGCAGTAATATACTGAGCCGAAGCCATTTCTCCTGATGCTCTCAAGGCACCTGCATACCTGAAAATCAAAGTGGAGTTAAAGACATGATTAAACTAGTTCTTAAATTCATGTGAAAAAAGACTTACTATGCTACCCTCAACTAGAAATTTTTCAAAGCTTTTCCATCTATTTTCTTCTACTAAAAAAGACTACTAAGAAAAAAGCGAATTTAGATGAAGTCTATTTAAGATTTTTTCCATGTCTAACTCATCTAAAAATGTATTGTCTGACCATCGTGTGAAACCAAAGGCTATATTAAATATAGATGGACTGACACAGGCCCATTATTACAAATAAAATAAAATATTTCTGAAATCACAAGAATAGGCATTGGCTCAAAAACATTAAATAAAACATAATACACCTAGGGACTAAGTGTATCTACAGACTAGTGGCAAGAAGCTGCACTGCAATCACAAAGGTGCATGGTTCAAATCCACCAGATGCTCTGCTGGAGAAGGAGGGGCAATCTCCTCCTGTGCCTGTCAGATCCAATTCCACAGCACACAGCAGGTAATTTAAAAAACAAAAATAAAATGATACACCTATATTAAACCTTAATTTATATACAACATTAATAAGTTTTACATCAGTTGTTCATCTGTAAAATAAGAAGTTTACATTAAATTGTTTCCAATTTACTTTCAGCTTTCTCCATTCATTTCAACCATCCAAAGGCTTGGCTATCCCAAGGAAATATTCAAGCAGAAATTATTATTTACATAGTATTAAGCATGGAGGCAGAGGAAGTCTGATATGTACTTTATTAAAACTCTGTTTATGTTCTACATTACCACCACCACCAAGTTGATGCAAACACACAGTAAACCTCCATCAGGTTACAAAGCTCTAACTCTTTGCAGGCAAAGATGTTCATCTTTATCCTCAGAGTAGCTAGTGGAGTCCACATAACCCACTAATAACTCATTACCATCCAGCAGGAATCAATTCAGGCTGAAGCTCCCCTGGGTTTCTGAAGCTGTAAATCACCAGGGGATTTCCCCTATTACTCCCTCAGAGCTGCTGGTTGGTTTGAACAGACAGAGAGGCCTGGCTTTCAGGGTGGCAGAACAACTCCCCATGCTATAGAACTTCCACATAACCACTAGCACTCGAAGATGAAAAAGACTGGCATCATCCATATGGCAAAAATGAAGGGCAATCACAACTCATGATACAAGGTGCTGTGAGATGTGTCATCTCTGGTAGTTGGGATCCACCAGAGAAAGACAGGAAGCCTCCTCCTGTCAAGATTCACAGCCAAGGGAGCTGCACTGCAATCCCAGAGGTGTGCCGTTCAAATTCACGAGATACTCTGCTGGAGAAGGAGGGACAATCTCCTCCTGTACCAGTCAGATTCGATTTGACACAAACACATAAAAATAATAAAAATAAATTTATTTTTTAAAAAAGGATTCACAGCCTGAGGAACCCCGACAGAGGGTCAGTATGACTCAGAACCAACTAGATTGCAGTGACTTAGTGATGCAATCAAAACAAGGATTGGTTTTTGAAACTTTATGTTGAAAAGAGGAAAGAGTTTATATACATCCTGCATGATTCCATTTAATCTGTTTCAGAATGTTGTTGCTTAATGTTGAATTGGAACCAACTCATAAATGACCCTCCAGCAGGTTTTCAAGTCACAGAGGAGACTGCTCATCATTCTCCCACAGAGCAACTGGTGAGTTTGAATAGCATGTGCCTTTGGGATTTCAGTTTAGCTTCTTAACCCTAGGCCACCAGAGCTCCCTAAGTTTCAGATTAAGCAAAATTATTCCTTTTGTGGTATAAACCGTTAAGCATTCAATGACAAATCTAAAGGTTGATTGTTCAAACCTATCAAAGGCACCTCAAAAAGACAGGCTTGATGATCTGCTTCCAAATATAACATGGTAGCAGTTCTACTTGGAATACATGGGGTCACTATGAATCAACAGTAACTTATAGTAATACCAAACCAGTGTGTATGAAATACATGGAGGGGTGTAGGAAGTGGTATGGAAAAGAATGGTACAGGCAACTTACATTTAACCAAACTGATAACCCTTAAGTCATGTGTTACATACTAGGCATCCTACTTCACAGAACATATCACAGGCATTAGGAATCCTGGTGCTGTCATTATAAGGTGTTGGGCTTAAAATATCCATGATAAAATAAAATCAAACCCACAGTCACCAAATTGGTCCAGACCCATGGAGACCTTCTCAGGTTTCTGAGGCTATAAATCTTTATGGGAGGAAATCACCTTTCTCCCACAGAAGAGGCGGTGGATTTTTTAAGTGACACATATCTGTATATATTTTTGCAGCAATCAATCAGTAACATTTAAAATAGTTGAGAATGAACTTTTAAACTACATATTGGAAATAACACAAATATTTTAAAAATATAGGTTTACTATTAGCCGCCTTATTAACTTCTCACTCTAACAGGTTGACTAAGCTTAGGACTGTGCCAACTATCCATGCTTGGAAAAGTGGACAAGACATTAAAAGAGGGGAAGACCCTCAGCCAGATGGACTGACACAGTGACCAAAATAATGGGCTCAAATATGTAAGAAGATCGTGAAGTTGACACAGGAGAGGACAGGGTTCGGATCTGCTTTTCAGAGTTGCTATGAGCTATGCTCAATTCAACAGTATCTAACAACAACAATATTTCAACTAACTGTTGCTACTGTTGTGTACAGTCAAGACAGAACCAATTTGAAGATGAATTCCAGCAGGTTTTCAGAGACAGTCAATTGGATGGAAGGAGATATATTTGGATTGACAGCAAAAAATTTTAACATGCCTCATATGGCACAGTCTGAAGAGAGTTGCATTGCTAACCCAAAGGTAGTGTCTCTCTGGCAGTTTTAATTCATCAGTGGCTTTAAGGGAAAAAGACAGGCTATCTCCTCCTGTTCTATATTTAGCCTCCAAAAATCCAGTGAAAAGTCAGCTAATATGAGGCAGTTCAATTGAGTCAAGCTGTCATGTTAAAAAACACCAAGCACAACCACTTCTGTAAGCAAATGAAGAACTGTCTTAAGCATGCTTAAAAAGATTTCTATTAAAAAAAATTTTTCTATCAAATTAAAGGACAGTATTTTTATCATTAAAACACATACATGGTCAAAGCAAGAAGAAAATGTCTATCACCACTTAATATTTAACACTATGCTCAAAGTCCTAGCCAATAATGAAGTGAACAACCTGAAACAGATCTGTCTTCATTAGAGGAGGATATCTATAAGCAAGCACACAAATTTACTTAGCACTTGCCTTATGCAATTATAAGAGGCCATAAATAAATGATACCTTCTCAGGAAAAGCAAAAAATACTTCATGCACTTGAACATGTACACAAAATGTGAGAGATACTTAAATTGGGGGGGGAGTACAATAGAACACTGGAAATAGCATGTTTAGAATTAGTGTAGGTTTTTTCTCTTTGGCAAACTAAGTCAAGAATAATCACAGGCAAAATATTCTAAAAGCAGCATTTCAAATGGATTGAGTATCCAAGATGGACGGTGCATGAAGAAAGAGACTTCACAACAAAAAGAAAAGCAAATAAACAACAAAATTTACTACAGTAAGCTTAAAGTTGCTGAATATTTGCAGAATGTGGCAGTTTTTATATTCTGGGTTATTAATTTGGCAATTTAAACAAGCAGAGTTATAATGTATTCACCAAAGTTATAAACAAAGCAATACCACTTCTAGAAATTTATTCCTAGGCAGCATGCAAATGAAATGTATTGTACCATTATTAATAAAAAGTATAAACTCAAAAAAGCATAAGTTTATGACTGTTAGAATACTTTTTAAAAATTCACAATATTTCTACTTATATTATTAAAAGCAATAAAAAATAAAAGATATACAAATCCTATTAGTAATTACTTTCAACTTGTTTTTGATAAAAAATTTTCAACTGAGGGAAGAATCACTTATTTCAAATGCAAATGAGAATCATAATCTGATATAACTTTAAACTCACTAGGATGGCTATAGGAAAAAAATTTAAAAGTGTTAATGAGGGTGTAGAAAAATTGGAAGGAATCAGAAAAATTATTAAAAAACGTAAAATGATACTGTTCCTCTGAAGCAATTTAGCAGTTCCTCAAAATGGTAATAAGCAGTTATCACTCTATAGAATCAAGAAAAAAGGAAATACATTCACACAAAAACTTGTTCACAGCAGCACCATCTACAATAAGTGAAAACACCTCAAATGTTCTTTAACTGATGACTGTTGTTGTATACTGTAGAGTCGGAACTGACCCACAGCTGACCTTTTCAAAGGCAGTTAATCACATGGGAGGAGAATGCCCATCCCTCTCCCACAGAGCAGCCGGTGGCCTCGAACCACAGGCCTTTGGGATTATTACAGTGTAACTTCTTGCCACTAAGCCAACAGAGCTCAACTGATGACTATGTAAACAAAATGTGGTCTACACATACAACAGAAAATGAATGAACTTTGAAAGCACTGTTAATTAAGAATTCAATAACCAGGGAGCTTTGGTGGCCTTGTGGCAAGAAGCTGCACTGCAATCCCAAAGGCATGCAGTTCGAATCCACCAGATGTTCCACTGGAGAAGGAGGGGCAATCTCCTCCTATGCCAACTGGATCTGATTCAACAGCACACAGCAAGTAATTTAAAAACAAACAAACAAAAACAAAACAAAAAAAAACAGTAACAAAACAACCACATATTGCACAATTCCATCAAGAACAGGCAAGTTCAAACAACGAAAGTGGATTAACAACTGCTTAATGCCAGGAGCCAGCAGAAGAGTATGTTACATGTGGGGCTATGAGGCTGGACCCCACCAGCTGCTCTGTGGAAGTAGATGCAACAGTCTGCTGCTCCTTCAGGAGCTTGAATAAATTCCATGGCAGGAGGTTTGAGTTTTGGCTTTTAATGGGAAATGCAATGGTATGAAAAATGACTGCCATTGGGTATGTTTCTTTGAGGGGAAGAAAAACTATCTAAAGTAGATTGTGTTGATGGGCACACAACTCAAAAAATTAATAAAAATCACTGAGTTATAAACCACATGTAGATAAGTTTATGACAAATAAACTCTCTCAATAAACCCATTTTTTAAGAATATAGAAGAGCACTACTTACTCAAAATCAACCTCTCTTACTCAGAGCCTTAAACCATTTCCCTCAAGCCTCACCTTTTAAGGGCATCTTTGAGCTCAGGCACAGACCGGATACACTGAACTGTAGCATTCATGTAACAAGTGTTCCCTAGGTTTGTCAGCCCACATGGTAATTCCATCTGTTATGAAAAAGGACGAAATCATTTTTAAAGATTAATGACACAGAATATATAAAATCATTCAAATTCAGATGTTATGGCAAGTCATAATTACCACGCCTACCACTTGCAGAGCACTTTTCACCTCTCCTTAAAGTAACAACGCTTGCTTTCCCTTACAAAAACTTTTCCTTATACCATGATGACTACCATCCTATGTTTCAGGTCCCTTCTTAAAAATGGGAAGAGAAAAGGAGCTCTGGTGGCTTAGTGGCAAGAAGCTGCACTGCAATCCAAGAGGTATGCAGTTCAAATCCACCAGATGCCCTGCTGGAAAAGGAGGGGCAAATCTCCTCCTGTACCAATCAGATCTGATTTGATGGTAAACACACACAAAAAAATATAATAAAAAAAAATTGGAAGAGAACAATAACATTAGTCCTGCCTCCCTCAGGCTTGTAAAACAAAGCAACACAGTATATACATACAGAAACACTTCAAATTAATGACACAAAAAATGAACAGCATTATATAGAAATGTTGTGCAGTGTTTTGAAAAAAACAATTTGCCACATATGGTTGTCTAATTTAAAAAATGATTCTGTATTTAAATTATGGATAAACTGTGTGTACTCAACAAGGAGAATTTTTAAGAATTTAAATAGCCCAACATTTATTTAAACTAAACTCCTGGAGATTTTTTCCTAATAGAGTAGTAGTAGGTACTTACCATGTGCTGGAAATATGTCACAGATATATACTGAGTGTGAGAGAGAGAGAGAGAGAGAGAGAGAGAGAGGGAGAGAGAGGGAGAGAGGGAGGGAGAGTGTGTGTCAAGAGTTTAAGGCTTAAAATATAAGCCATGGATTAAAATACTATGTTCAATGTTAAATATAAGCCTAAGCTAAATGAATTACTCTGAAAGCTTAGAAAAGCAACAGTAAAACTAAATATTAAAAAGGCAAAACAAAAACCTAATTATGTGACTCTTTTATCCAGAAAAGAACTCTCTTAAAACGGGAAAAGAAAACTCTTAAGGACTGGCAGAAAAAAATCAACCTTGACATTTAACGATTACATTTTAAGATAATAGATGCTATTTTGTGAAAAGTTAGTTGTCCTTTGGAAACCCCTGATGTAGCATGAACTTTATCTTACCGCAGAGGCTAGTTGTTCTTCAGTCATGTCTTCTACGAAGACAGTTTTAGCCAAGGGTTCCTCTGGCAGCGCATCTGCTGAGCCCATCATTAGCAGATTCATTCCCTGTTAAAAGAAGTCATTTCAGGAAAACTGGTTTGGTAACGTTCATAACCAATGAAAGACAAAAGAACACATGTTAACGATTCCACTAATATAAAATGTTGGTGAAAAGTGAAACTCTATAGAGCTAAAAAGTAGAGTGGTGGATGCTGGGAAAATGGAGAGTCACTTTAAATGGGCACAAGATTTTTTTCCAGGGGTGAAAGAAATGCTCTAAAATTATATATCGATGGTTACACTACTCTATGAATATATTTTTTTCTTTTAAAAAGTGCAGAGGTGGTAGTTGCCTGGGGTCAAATTTTATTTTTCTACAAAAGGGTATGAGCAACCTTTTTAGGATACTAAACCTCTATACCTTGACTGCAGTAGTGGTCATAAAACTCCGTATTACCTAAGTTCATCAAACTGTACACTACAAATAAGGTTTGTTTTAATGAATCCCTTATACCACAATACATAAAGCTAGTAGAGAAATAAATATACCTAATGAAAGACAACGATAAGAAGGAGCTTTGGCGACATGGTCTGTAATGTGTTACACTGTTAACCAAAAGCTGATGATAATATTCCTAACATGGGGAGAGAAAGATCCTTGAATGGTCATTAATTATCATTTAGTGGCATAACTTCTCCCTCTAACAAACAGCCTAACCACTGATAACATTCTCTCTGAGAATATTTACTGTCTAACAGTACCTACTTATATTTAAATATAAGTATTTTCAGGATATTTAAATCTCCATTTTTAGAAAATATCAAACCTAAATAGAATAAATTGGTACAAAATAAATTATTTTTGTAATGCTATACACTATTAATCTAATTATAATGACTGCTAAAAAATATATCACTTTTATATACATATATATCTAAAATTACACATAATAGAACAACAAATACTGTCATCCCAAATCTTATTGATACTGAAATGTAACTCATTTGTCAAATACATGACTCAGAATTTTAACTAAAAGGAATGAACACATGATTAAAGGGAGCCAGAAGTAAAAACAAAATAAAGCCAGAGAGAAAACAGCCAAGAAAAGTAAAAACATTAGGTAAGAATTGAAATTGCTGTTGTTGTTATGTGCCATCAAGTCGCTTGCGACTCATAGAGACCCTGTGTACCTAAACCCTGCTCTATCCTGTGCCAATCGAACTTCCTCTGACACACCCATCCCGATTACCCCAGTCACTGAATCAATCCACCTCATAGAGGGTCTTCCCCTCTTGCGCCGTCCCTCCACCCTCCCAAGCATGTCCCTCTCCAAGGACCTGTCCCTCCTTACAACAAGTTCAAAGTATGTCAGATGAAGCCCCAGAATCCTTGCCTCCAAGGGACAGCCTAGTTCAAACCTCTCTAGGATGAATGTTTTCTTGGCAGTCCATGGTACACTAAATACTCTTCAATTCTCCTTCTATCCTCCCGAGTCACTGTAGGAACTAAAATTCAACTAGCAGAGTGAAGATACTCATTGTCTACTTCTGTAGTAAACTTTTAATTATGGTTTGAGTGAAAGTTTACAGAACAAATCACTTTTCCATTTAGCAATCCAGACATACTTTGTTTCATGCCATTGACTGCAATTCCCATCACTCATCCCAATTCCTGAACTGCCCACCAAGAAAACAAATATGTCTGTCTTGGAGAAGGTGAAACCAAGTTTCCCCTTGAAGGCTAGAACTTTGAAGCCCCGTCTCACATGCTTTGGGCATGTGGCTGGGAGGGACCAAACCTTGGAGAAGGACATCATGCTCAGAAGAGTGGACAACGCAAGAGAGGAAGACCCCAGATGAGATGGATTGATACAGTAATGGGGGAGGGTGTTTCAGAGTCAGTGAGACTGGCTCAGGACAGAGCAGGTTTCAGAGCTGTTGTACACAGGGTTGCTATGAGTCACAGGCAATACAATGGCAACAATAAAAAATTTAAATGGAAAAATATTTTTTCATTTAAATTAATAAACTCATTTAAATACTAATACAAAGAACATGTTTATATTTTTCAAAATAAAAAATTAATAGAGTGCAAATCTAAAACCAGAGACCCTAAGTTTTTGTATGTAAGCATGGCAGTATAAAAGCAGTCTTAATTCCATTTAAAAGTCTTAATAGAGTGCAGAATCCACACTGACATTTTTAAAAGGTGACATTAAAAACCGCATTCCTTTTACCCTTGCTGATGACTTGGGCCAACATTCCTTTTCTGTGAGATCTGGCCTATGCTGCTGGTTCTCTGTCCATGTGCTGTTGCATGGGTTATTAATGGTATTATTTGGTAATTTCCATAATGTTGGGAAAGAGGATCACCTTTTTTTGGAAAAGGAACAAATATGGATGTCTGCTAGTCAGGTGGCGAAGAAGCTGTATTCCAAATTTTTTAGCACAGATAGGGAGCATGCCCAAGGATGCATCTGTGTGTTCAAACACATTTGTATTCCATCAATTCCTGGGATCCCATTTTTTGCCATTGTCTTCAGGACAACTTACATTTCTTCATTCCTGATCATTGATTGTAGTAAATTCTGTCAATCTCCAGCTTCATTTCTGTCACCAAAATTACTTTCTGGTATAGTGTGACTCTATTCTTTCATCTTCTTTTGATGCTAAATGTATCATTCAATATTTTGCCCAAAGAATTCTCAGTATTGCAACCTGAGACTTGAACTTGATTGCCAGTTCGACAAATTCTGAACATGTTTTTCTAACTCCAGTTCTTTGCATATTACATTATAATACTTTATTTTGTCTTCTCGAAATCTTACTCTAGCACTTCTTCCCTTTGTTTTGGGCTATGTTCCAGTGTTTCTTCTGACATCCCTTTCAGTCTTTTCTTTGGTTCCTGTCTTTGTGATGAGCTTTCTTCATGGCCGATGTCCTTGCTGTCATCCCAAAACCCATCTGGATCTTCTATCATTCATGTTCAAAACATCAAATCCATTCTTGAGATGGTTTCTACTTTCAGGGATCATTTCTATAGTCTGCTAAACTCCTGGAGGATGGACTCAAGGTCCTATTTTGGTGCTCAAGAATTTTTCATTTTCTTCAAGAGCTTCAATTTGAATTTGAACAGGAGTAATTTAAGGTCTATTCCATTTAGCCTTTGGCTTTGATTGCTGATACTGTGATTGTCCATCAACTCTTTCCACAGATATAATCAACATGATTCCTGTGTAGCCAATTATATGAGGTCCTATATATAGTTCCCATTGATATTTTCAAAAACTATTTGCAATGAAAAAAATCATTGATTGTAACAAATTCTATCATTCAATCTCCAGCTTCATTTCTGTCACCAAGACCATATTTTTCACCAACCAGTCCTCTTTGTTTCCAACTTTTGCATTCCAGTCACTAATTATTACCAAAGCATCTTGATTTCAGGTTTGATCCATTTGAGACTACAGAAAGAAGTCAACAGAAATCCTCGATCTTATCATCTTTGGTTTTAATGGCTGGTATATACCTGTGAATTATAGTCTTATTAACAGGTTTAACCCGTATGTGTATGGATAGAACACTATCATGCACAGGAAAGACAGATCTTGAAATGTTTTGTGTTTTGTTTTTTAACTCTGAATGCAACACCATTCCTCTACAATCTGCCATTCCTGACATAAATCATTATTTTCTGATTCAAAATGATCAATACCAGTCCATCTCAGCTCGTCAATGCCTCTGTTATCCATAGGGCTTTCAAAGACCTATTATTTAATAACTAGATAGCCAGTCCTATTTCTTAGTTTGTGAGATCTATAATCTCTGCTGACACTTGTTCATTATGGCTGACCCTATTGGTATGTGAAACACTAGTGGTATAGCTTCCAGCATCACAACAATGCACAAATCATCACAGTACTGCAATCGATTGATAAGTTATATAGCCTTATATTTAAGAACAAGCATGCAAAAATTACAAGGAAACATGAATGCTATGGAAAGTAAAAACAGGTTATCTGGCCCAGGACAAGGTATAAATTAGCCCAGCAGAAGATTGGAGTCAGGATGCCTCATCAGATCAGAGTTTCTGTTCATCTGATTGATAACCAAGGCCCCAAAATATGAGCTAGGTCATAGGTAGCCTGATATGGCTATTATAATAAATACAAATAATAAAATAAAGAGGTACAGAATGTGTAGAACAAAAAGGATAAAACACAATACCATCAGACAAGTAGATAACTACTGGTTTAAAAAAACCCAAACATACTGATGACAGTATTAAAGAAAAGCCATCTAAATGCTCTAATTAAAAAGAAAATATAGAGTAAGTATATAAGACCTACATGTCTTGGAAGTTTAGTATTTAAAGAAACTAAATGAATGAAGAATAATGTGAAACACAATGGATACACACTTTGTAAGCAAACCAATATAAAATTTAAAAAAGAAGGGAAAGGCAAACTCTGGAGGCCTAGTGGCAAGAAGCTGCAACTGCAATCGCAGAAATGCACGGTTCAAATCTACCAGATGCTCTGCTGGAGAAGGAGGAACAATCTCCTCCTGTACCAGTCAGATCTGATTTGACGGTACACACAAAAAATAATGAAATTTTAAAAAACCAAACGAAAAAAAAACCAGTTGCTTATTAAAAGGGAAAGAAAAAAAAGTGTCGTTTTCATAAAGAAAAAGAAATTAACTGCTAATTAAAATGCTGGACATTCAAATCCATTAGTCACTCCCAGTAAAAAGATGTAGCAACTTACTTCCATGAAGACTTACAGTATCAGAAAACCCCTGAAGGCAGTTCTATTCTGCTTTCTAGAATCACCATGACTGGAACTGACCTGACCATAATGGGGTTCTTTTATCCAGTTCTTTTAAACTTCAGACCAAAGTAAATCTCAGAACAAAGATTATTATAAAAGACAAAAGGGGGCAATTTACAACGATAAAAGATCAAGTTATCAAGAATACACAGTATTTAAATGAAATAGAAAAACACGAAATTAACTTATATAGTAAATATCAGCATTACAAAAGCTCTTTGTGCAGTTCAATAATTTGTGACTGCTATTGTTAGGTACCATCCACTCAACTGTGACTCATAGCAACCCCAATGCACAAAAGAACACACACTACTTGATCCTATGCTGTCCTCAAAATCTCTACTGTGGGAGCTATTGCTGCAGCTACATCAATCCTTCTTGCTGAGTGCTGTCCTCTTCCTCAATGACTTTTCACAACACTAACATTATCTTTTTCTGCAAAGACTGGCCTCTCCTACTACTAATATGCCTAACCTATGTGAGACATAGTCTCAGCATCCACCAACCCAGATTTGTGTGGTTGCTATATATGGTATATTCAATAATCTCTGCCCATATCACAATTCTAAACCAAGTTTGTAGACCAAAGTCTGAAAGCTGCACAACCCAGATTTCAAGGTTTGTCAGCTAAAAAAGCAAAGAAACCAACCATTATCAGAATAAAGGAGTTCAGCCACAGTACCTTTACTGAGCAGAAAAAAGCATCTGGGAAAATCCAACAGCCACTCATTTAAAAAAAAAATTCCATGAACTAGAACAAGATAAAAATGTCACTCTCACTTCTATTAAACACAGTATTGGGAGTCCTAGCCACTGAAATAAGGTATGAAAATAAAAAGCCATAAAGACTGGAAAGGGAGAAGAGCTGTCATTACTAGCCAATAACAAGCTAGTTACACTGAAAACCCTATGAAATCTATAGGAAAACTACCGGGATTTCAGGTATTTATTCTCTCCAATCTAGACTACCAACTCAATGAAATCTGAAAAATATAAGGCATTTTACAAATTTAATGTGAAATTTTAAAAAAGGAACTAAAAAGGATAAATATTCTTGGAAAAGAAGGAAAAAAGTGGAGAACTTATCTTATTTCAAGGTTATTAGAAAACAACAATAATCAATACTGTTGACAGTATAAATTTAATCAAAATGATCAATGAAACAAGACTCCAAATATCAACCTACCCTCTCAGGTTTTCAGAAAGACTCCAGCACAGAAGAATGACAAAAAGGATTATCAGAAAAGTCATCTGAACTTTTCCTAGTATCAGAATTAGAAAATACATTATTTATCAGTACTTACATTTTTTATTGTAATGTTTCCCCAGTCATCATCCTGTTTCAAAAAAAAAACCAAACAAACATACATTAAACCACCACCACAACATCTAAAGATAACTACAAAATCAACTCATTTTTAAGCTATTTCAAAATAGAGTAAAATTTATCCAGTATGAATATTTAATTACAACCAAAGGTATTTTTTAAAGTACCTACAGTAAGTTTAAGAGTACATTTAACTGCACAAAAAGAACAATCTGAACATATACAAGAAAATAAAGTGTTGGCGAGGGCAGGAAAATACTTAAAACCCTGTACAGTGGCACAGTGCTGAGTGGAAATGTACAATGATACAACTGCTGTGGAAAATACCCTCACAGTTCCATATAAAATGAAACATACAATTTCCACATAATCCAATATTTTCACCTGAGTATTCACCCAAATATCTCTCTCGCCCCACCACCCCCCCCCCCCCCACACACACACAAAGCTCTAATGGCGCAAAATGTCGTATCTGATTCAAAGTGGACCAAGCTGGTCCATCTCACCTCACTATGTTATCTCATAATGTCATTGTTAATGTGTTCCCTTTTCATTTTTAACAAGTTCAAGTTTTCCAACATTAAAGCTATGTACATTCTAGTTTGTTCCAATTATTAAACTATGGTTGTCAATGTTTTTCCTCATTTCAACTAACTTCCAATCTGAACTTATCTTCACTCCTCTAGTGTTTACAGGGTTTTTCAAAGGCCTGTTACTTAAGAAGTGGATGGCAAATACTGGTTCCTATTCTGTCTTAATCTGGGAGCTCTACTAAAACCTGTCCACTATGGGTAAACCTTATGACATCTGACACACCTGTGGCACAGCTTTCAGTATCACAGCAACTCACAAGTTATATCACTACAGCAAACTGACATACAAGTATTATCTAGATTGGAGGAGGTCCATATCTGTTCCCATTCCCAAGAAAGGGAATCCAAAAGAATGTGGAAATTATCAAACAATACCATTAATAGCAGCACATGCAAGCAAAATACTGAAGATCATTCAAAAATAGATAGAACAGTACATAAAGAACTACCAAATGTTCAAGGAGGAATTACAAGAGGCCATAACACTAGGGATATAATTGCTGATGTCAGATGGATCTTGGCTGAAAGCAAAAATTACCAGAAGAATGTCTATCTGTGCTGTACTGACTATGCAAAGACATCTGACTGTGTGGATCACAAGTAGCTGTGGTTGACTGTGAGAAGAATGGGAGTCCCAGAGCACTTAATTGTGCTCATGCGATACCTATACGTGAACAGAGCAGGAAACACTGCATGTTTTAAAATGAAGAAGGGTGTAAGTCAGCGTTGTATTGTCTCTCCAACCCGCTATACCTATTCAATCTGTATGCTGAGTAAATTATTCGAGAAGCTAGACTCTACGAAAAGGAATGTGGCATCAGGATCAGAGAAAGACTCATCAATAACCTATGTTATGCAGATGATAGACCTTTGCATGCTGAAAGTGAGAAGGACTTGTTGCAGAAGAGCAAGGAATGTAGCCTTCAATATGGATTTCATCTTAATGTCAAGAAACAAAGATTCTTGCCACTGGACTGGTAGGCAACATCATCATGGAGGAAGAAAAGACTGAAACTGTCAACAAGTTCATCTTGGATCCACAATTAACACCCTTGGTACAAGCAGTCAGGAAATAAGGAGGTGCGCTGCACTGAGAAAGTCTGCAGTTAGGAACCTCTCTAAATTATTGAGGAGTAATGTAGTTTGAGGACTAAGGTGCATCTGATTCTGGGCATGATTGTTCTGATTATTTGCTATGCATCTAAGAACTGGACAATGAATAAGGATGACAGAATTTTTTTTTTTTTTTGTAATTTTATTATTTTTGTGTGCGTGTACCGTCAAATCAGATCTGACTGGTACAGGAGGAGATGGTCCCTCCTTCCCCGGCAGAGCATCTGGTGGATTCAAACCGTTTGCCTCTGGGATTGTAGTTGCAGCTCCTTGCCACTAGGCCACCAGAGCTCCCCTAGGATGACAGAATTGATGCTTTTGAGCTGTGGTGTTGGAGAAGAGCACTGAACATCCCATGGACGGCCAAATGAAAAATATGTGCTCTTTGGACGTAAGGATGATGAGGCGTCATTCGATCATGTTTCTAAGAGGGGCTTCTCCTTGAAAAGAGACATGATGCTTGGAAGTGTGAAGGGTCAGTGAAGGAGAGGAAGACCCTAAACAGGGTGGACTGTCACGGTGTCAGGAAGTGTGAAGATGGCGAAGGATAATATGGGGTTCAGATCTGTTGTTCAGAGTCACTTTTAGTTGTCCTCAACTCCCCAGCACCAAACAAGTGGCGCAGTCCACAGAGAGCCACTCTGCTAGCCTCTCTGGTGATTCAAATCCACTAGCCACTCCGAGAGAAAAAGATGGACAACCCATTTCTCTGTTCAATTTACAGCCTACCAAAAAAATCTCACTGGAGGGCCAGCTATGAATCAGTTCTAACTTGACAGCAAAGACTGAACGATGACTGATTCAGCCTAAAGAAAAATGAAATTCTGATGCATGCTACAACATGCTAAGTGAAATAAGACACGGAAAAGCAAACAGTCTAACTTGATCTTCCTAGAAAATATTTAGGAAGCTCAGGTGGCCTAGTGTTAAGGAGTTGCCGTACCAACCCAAAGGCAGGTAATTCAAATCCACTATTTGTTCTGAAAGAAGATGGGCAATCTCCTCTTGTGTGATTTATAGCCTCGGAAAACCCATTTAAGGGTCTTTAAGTAGGTTCCAACTCGATGGCACATAACAACAACAAAAGAATCAAAATATTTAAATACATAAATTAAGAGACAGAGCAGATTAGAGGTTACCAGGGATGGCAGAGGAAAAAATAGAGTTCTTTCTTTTTTTTAAGAAAATTTTTATTTTATACTGCTTTGCTTACAAAGTTTGTATATACTGTGTTTCACACTAGCCTTCATTCACAGTTTCATACAATCATTCCCATTCATTATGTTTTACAAAATTAATAACCCCTGAACTATGTCCATTACCTTGCCTTTCCAGATCCCCGCCAGATTTTTCCTATTTCCTTTCCACCCACCCACCCCTCCAATTAAATGACCCTATGGTTTTCCCTCGTACATCTTAACCCCTCTGCTCCAATCCTCCCCTTGGATCGTCATATATGTGTTACTAGTTATCTATTTCTACAAAAATGGTCTTATTCAGTATTTATCGCTATGAAACTGAGTTAACTCAGCATTAATGCTCTCCAGTCCCTCCCAAGTTATGTAGAAATTTCCAGAATCATTGCTCTAGACAGCTATTCCATAATATGTAGTTTCCCCTTGAACTCATGAAAGAGTTTTGGAAATAATGATGTTCTGGACAAAACTGAGAATATCAGTGAACCGTTGTTGTTATGTGCCGTCGAGTCGCTTGCGACTCATAGCGACCCTATGTACAACAGCCCTAAACTCCGCTCTGTCCTGTGCCAATCACACTGTCTCTGACACTCCCATCCCAATTATCCCAGTCACTGAATCAATCCACCTCATAGAGGGCCTTCCTCTCCTGCGCTGTCCCTCCACCCTCCCAAGCATGATGTCCTTCTCCAAGGACCTGTCTCTCCTCACAACATGTCCAAAGTATGTTAGACAGAGCCTCAGAATCCTTGCCTCCAAGGAGCCACCCAGTTTAACTCTTTCCAGGACAAATCTGTTTGTTTTCCTAGCAGTCCATGGTATTCTCAATACTCTTCTCCAGCACCACAGCTCAAAGGCATCAATTCTCCTTCTATCCTCCTTGGTCACTGTCCAACTCTCTGATGCATAACAAGTGATTGCAAAGACCATGGCCTGTATCAGATGCACCTTATGCTATGTTTTAATATAATAAAAAATATCTTATGAAATATAGCCTTGATTAGGTAACTTAAGGAATGCTGATGACACAGTGTGTTAAATACTCGCCTACTAACTGAAAGGTTGATGGTTCAAATCCACAGATTACTCTGATCCCATTAAGACAGTCTGATCCAATTAAGATTTACAGCCTTGGAAAGCAAGTAGGGCAATTCTATTCTGCCATATAGAGTTGCTATACGAGTAAGAATCAACTTGACATCGGTGAATTTAGGTTTGCTTAACAAAACAAATAACTCGGTGCCATCTAGTCAGAAGTGACCCATTCTTGACCCTCCAAGGGGTTTTCAGAAGCTGTAAATCCAACAAAAGGAGACTTCCCCTTTTTCTCCCTCTGAGTAGCTAGTGGATTCAAACCGCCTGCCTTTGGGTTGACTATGCAACTCCTCACTCGCTAGGTTGCCAGAGCTTTCTTACTCAGGAATGATTACGTGACTAATAACTTATTATCCAAATCAGAAGACTCTCAAGAATAAAAACACGTGCCATTAAAAATTATACCAAATAACTAAGCTAGCCCAGACAAACTGACTATTGTCGATAAATATTTCTCAAAATCTTAAATTTCATATCTAAAAGCCAATCATATAATTCTGCTTCACTAGGCTCAACAAAACAAGTTTTGTTTTTTTTCTGTTTTGGATTTACTTGTTTTCTAATGTAATGGCCACTTCATAGATATTTGAGCTGTACTGAGACTAAGCCCTTTCCTGCATAGGCTTACATGAGTGATTTTTTTACCTTCCTCTTTATAGAAGGTGTCAGGTTCCCATTTTCTTTTTTTTTTTAGGTTCCCATTTTCAATTCACTAGAAGGCTCTAGTGGCCTAGTAACAAGAAGCTGCACTGCAATCCTAAAGGCATGCAGTTTGAATCCATCAGCTGCTCCACGGAAGAACGGGTAATGAATCTCCTCTGAAAACCCACTGGGCGGTCAGCTATGGATTGATTCCCACTCTACGGTACACAACAACAACAGCATCTTATTATCCTCATCTTCTCTTTACTGATATCACTTTCTCTTTGGACATTGCTTCCTAAAAGCCCTTTTCAGTTTAACTGCTATTACTGTTAAGTATATGAAATTCAATCAATCAATCAATCAATAAATTCTCTCACACCACTTTCACACTCAGTTCACACACTGCTGAAAATTGAACCCAGATGTGCTTTATTTGTAAACAGCCTGTTTATCATGTCTCACTGCATTAATTACATCTCCGATTTTTTTTTTCTTTTCTTGTTGTGTACCATCCCACTGGATCCCACTGGCACAGGAGATTGCCCCTCCTTCTCCAGCAGAGCATCTGATGGATTTGAACCACACTCCTTCAAGATTGCAGTGCAGCTTGAAATAGTTTCATTTCTAAATAATCACTACATGCGTAAAAAAATAAATTAAAAACCTCATACTTAATAAACTGTAGCTTAGTCAAAGTTCCAATAAATTAACATTTTCCCATAGCACTCAGTATAGCACTTAAGTTATCAATAATCAAAATGTCACTGTAACTCTGGAAAAATTCTACAGCGAGCTTTTTAACCAACATCTCCTCGTAAGAATGGGGCAATTACAGCCACCTCACTATCTTTAAAGCTCTTTAACATGTTATATTTAAGGCTTAAAGCAAGTACTGTCATTATAAAAACTACATTTGTGTGTTGTTGTTGTTGTTCTTGTTATGTGTCTTCAAGTCGGAATAAACTCATAACTGACACCCCCACTACCACACACCCCGTGAGTGTGCTGAGGCTGTTAGTCGTCTGGGAGGAGACTGCCTATCTCATCCCCACAGAGGAGCTGGTAGATTCAAACTGCCTGCCTTTGCTTTGGCAGTGCAGCTCCTTACCTCCTAGGCCATAAGCACTCCTTATGTTTGCAGTATTATAAACAATAAAGAAAGTATCTTTTTTTGGTGGCACTTTAGTCGGTGACACAAAAGCTTTAGTGGTGCCATGGTTAAAGCACTCAGCCATTTAATGAAGGGTCTCACAGCTCAGATCAAAAGCCTACCAATTCTCAGGACAAAAACAGAGCAGTCTGATTCTATAAACAGTCCTGCAAATCTCTGAGGATAGTTCTACTGTTTCATGGGGTTGCTATGAGTCAGAATCAATTTAACAGCAATGGATTCATCAGTGATGTAGATAAATCTGGGCTCTCAATCACAATCATTATTACTCTTCGAAGGAAACAAAAGGAAAAGACTTGACTGCTAGTTTTTCCCTTTAACCTCTAAACAGGAATTATTGTTAGGTGTCATGAAGTTGGCTCAAATAGCAACCATATATAAAAAGAAAAGAGTTCTTCTTTATGAATAGAATGCAAGGTCAATGCAAAAGAATGTACAGATTCCCAGCATTCCAGAACTAGGCCTTCGAGAAGGATGCTGAAACACTTACAGACTTTATGCCTTTAAAAGCACGTACAAAACTGCGTTCTGGAGTTGCTGGCTTGGTTGTTGGATGCCAGCACACTTGCTCTGACACCAGCATTCTGTGGTTGTCATTTTGTATCAGGAACCAAGTTGAACTTAGGCTGCTTATTTCTTAAGCACAAAAATTTCCACATCCCGAAACAAAAATATAAGGGAAAGAAAACTAAGGAAATTCAAGTAAAATCTTTTATTAATCTGAAAAATTAATACTTTTAATCTTCAGAGGGAAAAAAGCTTCCAAGCATATAAACAATAAATGTGCCATTCCTCTGGCCCCCAGAGGTACCTAGACAAAACAAGACTAAAAACTAAAATTAAAATAATATTTTCATAATAATATTTTGGAATAGTTATAACATTCCTTCTTACAGTAACAAACAAAACTTGTTGCAATGAAATAAGTTTGGCTTATGTGGCCTCACTTTTTTTTTTTTTTTTTTATTTTATTATTTGTGTGTGTGTGCGTGTACCGTCAAATCAGATCTGACTGGTACAGGAGGAGATTGTCCCTCCTTCCGCGGCAGAGCATCTGGTGGATTCGAACCGTGCGCCTCTGGGATTGCAGTGCAGCTTCTTGCCTCTAGGCCACCAGAGCTCCCCTTATGTGGCCTCACTTTTAAAAGCCAGTTTTAATTTCACTGACTACATACTCCCCACAATTTTCTTAAATGTTTCTAATAATAAATTGACAGTGTTATTAACACTAACCATACAATAATTTAATAGAAAATAAACTACATTTTACCTTTAATGTTCCTCCTTTCACCATAACTTTCTGTCTGGCAGGCTGGACTCCTGTCAACGCAAAAAGCTGAGCCTTGAACACCATGGGAGGTTCATCAGTATTCAATTCTACACCTTCAAATTTCTCCTTTCCCCATTTTACAGTAACTGCAAATAAAAACAGAGAATTCTTTTTTTCATTTAAAAACAGGAAGATTTTAACTTTAGTAGGTCTTTACGGAGCTCTGATGGGACAGCTGATGGGAGCTGCACTTCTGACCCAAAGGCCACATCCCTCACGTGGTTCAAATCCACACAATCGCATGCAATTTACAGCCTCAGAAACCCAATGGATGAAAGTCAACTTGTACCATTCATTTCTATATGTCCACCATGCATACATCCAAGATGAGCATTCATGTAACACATCCATCTTTAATAAAATTGTATGGATCTAATCTAACTCCTCATTTAAAACTAAAGAAATTGAGAATTAAGGGCTGACTGGTTTGCTAATACAACGAAGACCAGCGCCACTGAGTTTATCAATGACACAAAAGTAGTTAGTAAATATTGACTATTCTAAAACCAACACAAATAATCTCTGCAAAACATGATTCAGCTGAGTTATCAGGAATGGGAAGGAGAGAGACGAAAGTTAAAAAGTCATCTATAGATTCAATGCAGTTCTGAAGAAAATGCCAAAAAGATACAGAAAGTGAAGTTGAAGAGTTGGAACTGACTGAGAGCTGACTGACCCTGCAGAACGTTTCTGAAGCTGTAAATGGGAAGAGATTGCCTGTCTTTCTCCTGCTGCTTACTAGTGGATTCAAACACCAGAGACACAGCCTTTGGGTTAGCACACAACTCCCTACACACAAACTTCACTGCCAGAGTTCCCTGAAATAGAAAAACCAACATTCCATATTATATGGAAAGGCAAACTCAAAACCTAAAACCCATGGTCATCAAACGGATTCTGCATGATGGCAATCCACTATCGGGTTTACAAAGCTATAAATTTTACAAGGAGCAAGTGGTTTCCTTTTTCTCCTAAAGAACAGCTGATAAAAGTCAAACTGCTGACCCTCTGGTTAGCAGCCCAACATTTAATTTGTTGCATCAGCAGAGCTCCTTATGGATAGGCAAAAAGGACCCCAAATATCTAAAACAATACTAAAAAAGAAGAAAGGAGGAGGACTCACACTTGCTAAATTTAATATATACTATATTGTTTGTTAAGTGCCATTAAGTCGTAGATGAATGAAAGACCTGAACACTTGTATAACTTTCATCGTCTCTCCACGTTCACAGAGTTTCCAGAGGTAAGTTATTTTGGAGGTGGATGCCACTTCTGCTTCCAAGCTTGTTGGTACTGGTGTAACAATCAATACACAGATCAACAGAAAAAAACTAATAGTCTAGAAGCAATACCATACATCTATCATCATCTGATTTTGAAAAAAAGTGCATTGGCAACATTGTCCAGAAAGAGCTGCACCAATAACCCAAAGCCTGTGTCTCTCTGGCAGTTTGAATTAACCAGTAGTTCCAAGGATGAAAGATGGACAATCTCCTCCACTGTGATTAAAAAGCCTCTGAAAAAAACACTGACGGTCAGCTACAAGTTGGTACTGACTCAAAGAAAATAAGCTTGAGCTGTGCACTTGATGGGGTAGGAAGTGCTGAGAAAACTGGATTTCCACAAGCAGAAAAATAAAACAGGATCTGTGATCACAATACACACACACACACACACACACACACACACACACACAAATAATTCAAAATACATTAAAGATCTAAATGTAAAACAAAATACATAAAATTCTTAATACAAGCAGGGGCAATGTGTAGTCTAACTTTCAACAATAAATTATGTAATGTAATGACAGAAGAAGTGAACAACAAAAAATAAACAAGACTTCATAAGAAAAACTTTTGTTCATCAAAACAAAGTATAAAGAGAAGGTAAGGACTACCACATATCCTAAAAGAATCACCTAACAAAAACAAATATAAATTTTCAACAACTTAAACAAAATGGCAAACAGCTATATAAAAGGTCTATTAAAATCATTAAAAGATCTGAATAGATATTTCACCAAAGATACTCAAAATCGTACCTTGTCAGCACCATCCCTACAATCTCAGCCATGCTAAACTCCCACTTATTCACATCATTTGGGTTATTCTGATGCATAGTGACACACAGTGACCCTCAGTTGGGGTTCCCAAGGTGTCCTAAAAGGACACTGTCCATCTTTTCCCCACAGAGCAGCTGATGGATTCGAACCATACATAACAGCCTTTCAATTAGCACTTAACTCCCCCAGTTGTTGTTGTTGTTATGTACCGTCAAGTCGCCTGTGGCCCACAGTGACCCTATGTAAAGCAGCTCTGAACCCTGTCCTGAGCCAGCCTAATTCCAATACACCAACCCTCATTGGCCCAGTTACTGTATCAATCCATCTCATCTGGGGTCTTTCTCTCCTGTGCTGTCCCTCCACTCCTCTGAGCATTATGACCTTCTCCAAGGATCGATCAGTCCCTCTGACCACATGCCCAAAGTATGTGAGATGGAGCTTCAAAATCCTAGCCTCCAAGGAGAAACATGGGTTTCACCAGCTCCAAGACAGACCATTTGTTTTCTTGGTGGTCCATGGTATGTTCAAGACTCTTCTCCAGCATCACAATTCAAAGGTATCAATTCTTCTGTCATCCTTAGTCACTGTCCAGCTCTCTGATATGTAGCAAGTAACCACCTACCATGGTGTGGATTAGGCACACTTTAACCTCTGGACTGACTGGTTGCTTTTCAGTACGAAGGAGAGGTCCCTGACAGTAGATTTTCCCAATGCAATTTGTCTTTTGATTTCCTGACTCCTAGGATGGCTAAAATAAAAAATAATTAAATAAAACAGGAAATAGCAAATGTTGGTAAGGAATTGTGGAAACTGGAACCTTTACTCATGACAAGTCTTTGCTACACAGCAAAAGCTGCTATAGAGAAAATCTGACAGCTAAGTCCTTCTCTGACACAAATGGAGTTGCTGCGTCAGAATGGATTTAACAAATATAAAATGAGAAGACCTTAGATTCTAAGAAAAAAAATGAGTGAGAGAACTAAAAGTGTAGTTTCTGAGCAAGAGGTACTTAAATACTATGTGACAAATCCCACAACATAACTATTTTTATTAAAGCTTTATTAACAAAAATCAAACTTCAATAAGCTTCATAAAGGAGCTAACTTTGTAAAAAGCAATAAACTTGGAAATATATATAGTTCTGTTGTTACTGTATACCGTCAAGTCAGAACAAACCCATAACTGACCCTCCACCAGGTTTTCAGAGGCAGTTTAATCACATGATGGGAGACTACCCTTCTCCAGCAGAGAGGCTGGTGGATTTGAACTGTGTACCTTTGTGCTGGCAGCCCAACTCCTCACCACTAAGCCACCAGAGTTCCCTAAATATAGTTTGCTTCCAATAAAAATCCTATCTACTCAAAACTAAAATCTTTTAATAAGTGTCTGTTTCTCAACATCTGAAATTAAGACTCTAAAATCAAAGAATGTGGTGACCTAGTGGCAAGAAGGTGTACTGCAATCCCAGAGGTGCACGGTTCAAATCCACCAGATGTTCTGCTGGAGAAGGAGGAATAATCTCCTCCTGTAGCAGTCAGATCTGATTTGCCGGTACACACACACACACACACACACATAAAATTTAAAAAAATAATAAAATTAACCAAAAAAAATCCAAGAATGACTCCAAAATCCAACACGAGTTCAGCAAATGTACTGAGTACTCATTTAATGGCAGGCACAGCAACAAACACTTGGAAAACTCTCAGGAGTCAATTAAGGGAGAGCAGCAAGAAAAGAATGTTTATGAAATTTAACAACAATAATCTAAAATAATAAGCAATACAATATGTAATAATAGCCATGTTATAAACACAAGAGCACAAAGAAAAGCTCCCTGAGTGAGAAAAGATTTCTGAGAGGTTGTGATAACTCAAAGAAAACCCTCAAACTCATTGTCATCAAGTCAAACTCCAGCAGGTTTTTAGAAGCTGTAAACGGCACCAGAGGAGACTGTCCATCATTCTCCCTCAACGCTGCTGATGAATTTGAACCATGAGAGAGGCACTGCCTTTGGGTCAGCAGCAAAACTCCCTATGGAAATAATTGTGCAAGAAAAAATTATGAGTTAGTCTAAAGAGTAAGAATATTCCTAGAAGGCAAGACGTGCAATCAAAAGCATAAAGCAGCAGATGTGTTGAGATATAATTTCCAGAGGGGAAAAAGTAGAAACAGATAGAATGGAAGATGGCTAAGCATCTAGTTATATAAAGGTTACCTTAAATCATGCTTAAATGAACAAACTTCATGTAAGAGCAAAATATATAAAGTTCTGAAAGATTTTCACAGAGGTCACATTGGTCTGGTTTGAACATCAGATCACTTTAGTACCAACAGGGCAAATGGATTTGAAGGTGACACAACTGACTAACTGATATCAGTTTGAAACATATTAATATTACAACAGTCAAAGCAAAAGATAACATAGAAGTAAACCAAACAGTGTTAGAAATAAAAGAAAGGAGCTGATCTGAAATCTACTTAGGAGTTTCATCTTCAGCAAACTAATGAAACTTTTTGCTGATCCATAAACGACTACCAGAACCAAAGAATCATGTTGAAGATTTAAAAAAATAGAACATAAATGCATGTTGAAAGTTTGTTTAAAAAAGCAACATGTATATATAAAAGTCTAGCTCTGCAACAGGCACTATTTTTTTTCAACTACTTTTACGGTATTTTCCAATAGGACTTAAAATGCTCAATTTAATACAAGGCTTCCTGATGAAACTGAAAACACAGATTCTCAATATGTAAACGAAAATTAGAAATCTACTTCAACTGTCTCATTTAGAAGATGAGGAAAAGGTCAAGTTGTAAGGGTGATTAAATATTTAAAATGGACCATAAACTTTAAGTCAATAATTTTGGTAGTGTAGGTACTTTTGCATGATGAGAAAACGTCTGGTTTTGTAGTATGTGTAAGTGTGTATACTACTGCACGCTTCTGTGTGTTAGTATATATCCTTCTTCAATTATTTAAAGCACAAATACGATTTTTCCAAATGCAAACAATTATTACTAAAGGTATGCCACTTAGTTTTAGACACCCTGGACAAAGACTGGTGGAACTCCTAGGCTGTATCACACTTCACGCCTCGAACTGAAATCTTTTAGCCAAATAACAAGACAAGCCTCTAAGCAAGAAAGAACACACATAAAACAATTAACCATACAAGACCAATGGACTGCCTTTGCCCAGGAAAAAAGAGAGGAAAAGACAGATGACAATGAGAACTACAAGGAATTAGCGTGAAGGGGGCTGTTCCATGTACATTGATTGTAATCAATCTACTTGTATGAAGTGAATGGAAAACTAATTTGCACTGTAATCTTCCACTCAAATTATGGTGAGGTGGGGTGAGGGACAGTTCTAAATCACCAAGAATCCGCTTTGACATAAAATACTACTCCTTTAAATGATGCCAATCTTTGAAAACGCTTAACGGTGACACAGTAGTCAGGAGTGGTCAGTAAATTATACATCCACAGCCAATAGGGGCCGACCGCATACATTTTTGGGGACACCTGAGCAAGAAGAGACAGCAAGGTCCACTCATTAAATAAAAACGTGATGCCTAGTCAGTATCTTGGGCTGCCATCATCCACAAATGCCATCAAACACCAATCAAAAAGAAGTGGAGACTCCGTCCATTTGCTTCATCGACCTCTGAAAGCTAACACCACGTTGCTGCCATAGCAGCCCGATAGGGCATTTGAGTAGATAAATGACAGGGTTGTAATCTGCCTCGGGATAAAACGGAAATCGGTGTGAACGCGGGAGGCAAAGTCAACAAGGGTATGTGCAGACAGGGGAGCCATTGAAGGAAACGCCAAGACCAAGGAGGTTTACCTTCCAATCTGGATCCCTCCACTTCCCTCCCTCAGCCTCTCTACCTCCGTTCCACAGTTACCTCTGAAGACCCAGAGCTCTGCAGGGCCCGCGGTGCCCGGGGCACACCCTCACCTCTCCCAACACCCCGGAGCAGCGACTTTTCTGCAGAGTCACGCCTCGGAAAGGCCCGGGCGGGTGGCTTCCCCACCTCGGACGCCCCGCTCCCGTCCCACCCGCCCGCCGGCCCACGAAGGGAAGCGCTCCCGCGCACGGCGGGGCTCGAGCTAGGAAGGAGACGGGAAGGTGTGGCCCATACAGACGCCACGGTCCCGTGCTCACCCTGCCACGACCCATCGCCGCCTCCGCTGGGCCAGGCCCGCTCAGAGGCCTAGCGTCCAGCCGGGAGACCGCTGCGCGAGGCGAAGACAGCGCTCACCGGAATAGAGCGGCATGGCGGGAGCCGAGGCGTGGCAGTGGCGCAAGAAGGCTAGGCCGTGCGGAGGCAAAGGGATAGGGACGAGAAGAAGCGGCGGCGGCGAACGTGGTGGAAGGGCGTTAGTGGCGGTAGCAGCAGCGGCGGCTCTGGTGCGACGAGAGTCTCATTCAAACCGGCCACTGACGATGACGCACGAGGACGCAGCTCAACCCCGCCCGACGTCAGCAGGGAGCAGGTGATGGGCGGAGGGCGGGGCGCCGCCTGATTCAGGAAACGAGGGAAGGCGGGACTGGGGAGGGGCTTGGGGCGGGGACTGAGGCAGGTGGGAGGGGCTATGGAGGGCAGGGAAGCGTGTGCCTTAGGCTGCCTTTTATTTTTTTGTTTGTTTGTTTGTTTGTTTATTAGCAATTATTTATTTAAAAAATAAAAATGTCTTGAAAGACTTAGATGGACTTGACTCCACATATTGGTTTTTTTTGTTTGTTTTTGTTTTTTTTTTAATTTTTTT